TACTAGAAGACATCTCTCTCTCTCTCTCTCTCTCTCTCTCTCTCTCTCATGTGACTTATGAAGAGTAGCAGCCTACAAAACTGAACTACCTGGTATTCAAGATCATCAGATGCAAAATACAAGGGAGGTTGATGGCTGTACTCCCTTCCAGGAAGGCCCCCACATCTTAAGATATCACAAAGAACCTACATGAATTATCCATTGTCAATGAACATAAATAATTCCCTTTCAGTCAAAAATTTACAAAGAACCGCGTCACATGTCCTACTACCAGAATATAGAGCAATGAATTCTGGCAAAACAAGGGTAATTCATTTATCCCACTTGTGGTTTGATAAACAATTACTCTCTTATCGATAAAACATCACTACCGTTTGTAACATATGAGATCGAACAGAAACAGAAACCTGAATATCCCTGCTCCAATCAACAGGATCGCTGACAATGAAAGCTGATTTGACTCTTTCAGAGTAGATATCCTCTTTAGAATATGTTCTCTCATTATCCAGTGTCATTTTAGTTACCCATTTCTTGTACGGTCCTAGGGGATCTATGTTGTCGAAGAATAAGGCATACTGATCTATTGAAATAACCTTTCTGCCATCAACCACTGAGTAGCATTATCATAAGCAACAAGATGCATACCATAAAATGTGTTAATAAGCACAAAAACAAATGCAGTGATTAGACTTAGATTTTAAACAAATCCAGTGATACACTTATACTCTAGAGCACACAAATAAGTCAATGTTCTCTCCGAAACGAAAAAGTATGGAACCATCAAATCCAGACGAAGAGGCTGACTCCTTACTTGAAACCATACTCAGACATCACAGCAGCTGGTTCACCTTTCCCCACAGCAACAATGAGATCATTTTCATATCTATGGAGATAAGAGAACAGATCAACACATTAACATTTCAGGAAGATAAATTCCTAGTAATTAAAAAAAGGATGGGCTTCTATGAGTCAGCCGACTCATACTGTGCAAATGCGGGTCCCCCACTTGAACCTATCTTAAAAATGAATTTTTAACTCAAAATTTTAGGGATTCCTAATCTATGTTAAGATGACCATGGATATTAAAATAAAATGAAATTGTAAATATTTAAAATGTCATTTTTAATAAAAAGAAATTCTACACCATCTAAATGCATTTTAGCCCCTTGGCTTTTTTACAACATCCATCTTAGAAGATGGATGTTGGTGAGTCAACCAGCTCTTGCATCCGCTGACCCAGGAATAACTTTCCTTAAAAAAAGGAGATATAGCAGTATAACTATGACAATTTCCTTGTCATTGAAGATATTTTTGGATTGTGCAAAATTAAAGTACACCATACATCAAGGGTGTGTGGTAGATGGTAGCCAAACTGCCATTCATCATTCAGTCCAATGATAAACAGTAGAGATTAACTATTACAGCGTAAATCTCCTAGTCAGCCCCATTAGGAAGCAGGGGCCTATTTGGTGCACCATGTAACACACACCAGTGTTGCATGACATACTTTACCTATGACCAAAAGCGCTCAACGGAGGTACCTATTCACAAGCTGTTTGAAAGGTGAATGGCCCTGTACGACCTGCATTGGCAATCTGATCAACAAATGTAGCTTATTGACCGCCACGAAAGAAATCTAATTAGAGTGGTATAGAAGAGCATACATTTACATCATGTAAAAAAATTAATTAATTAATTAAATGATATTGAACCAATAAACAAAAATAAATAACAATCTAAACCCTTTGCACACTCCTCTCCCTGTTTCTCACCCCAGCACAAAGAAAAAAAAAAAAAAAAGGACCCAGAAAAGAAAAGTTTAAAGAGATAGAAGTTCCATTAATAACAAACGGATCATGTGCTTTGACTGACACAAGACTTGGCTGCAAAAAGACAACCTTTTGAAAGTTCAATGGCACCAATTTTAACACTGCAATACCAATTATCTTGAGCATTGTTGATGTAATCATCGATAAATGAGATTATCCATTGCCAATAAATGGATAAAATACATTGACAAATCTATAAGGTACCAAAAGAACATCAAAAACTCTTCATGAATTGAAAGAAATAAGTGATATATATGTTCTCAGAAGAATGTAGTCTGACAGAGGTCAAGAGATCCTTTGTCCATTTAGCGGCAAACAAATAAACCTTAAACAGAACATCAAGCATTCCAAAGACAAAATTGCATAATGTTGGGAATTCATGAAATTCTTAGCTCATTTAAAACTTCTTAACCAACAATCGATTTTATATTAGCATGAAATAGTGGATTAGTTTAAAATGATGAAAACCAAACCCAAGACACAAACATGTATGGCACAGCACACAACTCAGTGGGAACACATTAGCATTGCCCAATTAGTACCACATTCCAATCATAAAAATAATGCAAAAAGTTGACCATTTCCAGTAAAAAAGAATATGTCAAACAATTGTCAAAAGAGTAAAAATATATATTGATAAAAAAAACTTCAAAACTCAACTATTCAAGTAACAACAGACAAATAGAGGCAAATAAAGGGAATGAACATTGGTGGACACACAAATAAACAATCATGGCCTACCTGTAGAGGTTGAATATTCACTTCTAACATTTTACTCAACTCAATGGCACGTTTGGATTCTGGAACACCACCTCCTGTAAATATCAAATGAGCGTTGAGTTTTTTATGTTACACAACAGTCCATAACCACTTGCAAAATTTTCCTTTAACATGAGACTTGGAGGCTTGGGAATCTCAAGAAACAACAAATAATATAAAAGGCGATTTTAAAAGTTGTTGAAGAGAAGAATATGAAAAAAACTCAAAACTAAAATGAAAATGAAACATTATAAATGAAAATTCCTATAAACCAACTTTCTTGTTATCAAAGTAAGCGGCCCTGTCGCCGCAAAGAAATTGAAATCAACATAAAAATAAAATAAAATCCTAAACTTTATGGAACTAAAACCCCCTTTTATGATAAAACACTTGAATCATTCATTTAGTGGAACGCATTAAAAAGTTTTCACTCATCATGAAAACGTTTTGAACTTACATAGGCATAAGGTGGCAGTTGTCTACATATCATTGTTTGATCAAACAATGTTGATCTGTCGACATGGATTTGAACGTCTAACAAGAGGAATAAATTATGTCCAAGTTTTAATAAACCACTGTAGGTGCTTTAGTTTGGAAAGCTGGAAACAAGGACCATCTAAAATCAACCTACAAAGCATGAGGAGTTGTCCAAGCATCAACACAAGAATTATGAGTGTGTCTATCATGCAAATAAATGAAGGAATCGAACGCACGAAAAAAACCTCACCATTTGTTAGGAAGATAAAAGGAAACTTCAATTTACCTGCACAAATGGAAACGTTAAACAAGTGAGACAAGTATAGCTTGATGGGCAGTGGGCAGATATTGCTCTTGAATCTATAAAATTATTTATCAATAAAAAGTGTAGAAAATAACGGAAAAGTAAATTAACGAAAGTTTTTCGGCAGTTTTTTATTTTCCTTTTTCATATAATTAACTTTTTTAATGCTGAGATATAAAAGAGCATGACAAGTACATTGCATTAGAAAACCATGAAATTCATTTTATCATCGTTGTTGAATTAGGGCTTTTGTTTACCACAATCAGTGTAAAGCCTTTTGAGAGCCTGAGGAGAATTTCCTATGGGCTCGTTTCCGCGAAGAATTACCCCATCAATATCAAAAGCTATTCCAAATGAAGGCCTGAGAAAACAGGAAATTATCAGTATAATGATAATCAAATAGAAAAAAAAAAAACAAATTTTGTCCAGTTGCGACGCAATTTGAAGCATTTTGCAGTAAATGAATTATTCAAATTGAAAAAAAAAAAGGATAATGTGCAGTGCATTATTCTGACCATCGAGAACCTGAGTGGAGCTGGGAGAAAGAGCGAGAATGTTTATAGGGCGCCTTGGCCCTGATGGACCTGTATACGTGGCGGAGTACCATTGGTCTTGGAATCAAGTGGCCGTGGAAGTGAAACAGAGAGGTTCAGCCTGGTTCAGGAACCGCTGGGTTTTGAAGGAGAGAGAAGGCGAAAAGGATTGAAATCACATTTTCCATTGACAACACCGCACGGATGAATGTCAATAGTTTAGAGACCATTTGGATACGCAAATAGTCATATCAAAGAAATAGCCTTGAACCTTGATATAATCCTTACTACATGAAAGGGAAATTTATCAAAATTATTTAACATTTTGCCCATATTCAATACAATTTAAGAACTCGTGTTTTTTCATGAGTGTTTTGAAATTTTTTTAAAATATGGGTAAATTATTAATAGCTTATGTTAGGGTACTCTTAACATTTCATTAATTATCCAACTTAACATTTTTGACACTCATTACCTCTTGTTTCATAATACAAATCCCTTGTTTTATAATACAAATTCTTTTAGTAAAGGCTGTTGGTGCATTGAGTCCAAGGGTTCTCTGCCGGTCTAGAGAATGAGTTCTGGTATGTTGGTCAAGGTTCCCATTCTTTCTATACTTTTGGTCATTATTAAGGATAAAATATATCTTTTTATAAAAAAATTAATAGCATGGTATAAATGATTAAAAATTAATTGCGATGCATTTGGGTGATGTCATACTGTGGATGATATCATTCCATTAGATCAATGTTTTTCTTTCTATCAAAATTTATACTTTAATTTTAAGTAATTAAGTAAAAAGATTGTCTACAAAGACCATTTATGTCTTGTGCATGGATGTCACAATCATTTGTGTCCCTTGAATTTCAAAATAAATGGCTATAAAAGTGTCAATAGACACAAAGTTCCAAACAAAAAAAATTGAACTTCATGACTCATCCCAAGCCAACTAATTTGATATTTAATGAGTAAGTCATCTGATTTGATATTTAATGAGTAAGAATAATTGTGACCTCCATGTAGAATAATTGTGACCTCCATGTAGAAAAGATAAATCATCTTTTTGTAGTCAATCCTTTACGTAAAATACCTCTCGACAAAAAGTTGGTATATTGTGAGGTAAATGTAATAAGTGTTAAAAATGTTTAATACATTAAAGATATAGTCTATAAGGCAGTTTGGTTACGTGGAAATCTATTACGTGACAATAGATTACAAATAAATATGACATTTACACTATTTGGTACATTTTAATAGTAAGAAAATGGAAATACATTAACCGAGATTTCTCCAAAAATCACGAAATCTATTACGTGTGTGAGAGGTAAAAAATCTATTGACAGATTAATCTTTGGAAATCTTTCGCGTACGTCTCTCTACTCTATCCCCTCTTAAAACTGCTCTAACCCACTTAAAAAATATTTGCCTTTCTCAAGATATGTTGTACCTTATAATTATTAAGGTAAATAGAAAGTGAAAGTAGGGGATATGAAACGTTTCACCTTATAATTATTAAGGTAAATAGAAAGTGAAAGTAGGGGATGTGAAAAGGGGAATCTAAATTGATTTGGACTATTGTACAATGACTATGTTCTATTGCGATCATAATAAAAAAAATTTATATCTCTCTATCCCCAATTTAAAAATTTAACTTTCACTTACTTCCCAATTTTTGTTTTTAAATGGGTAAGTGAAAGTAAGGGGAAGTCTAAATTGATTTGAACAGTTGTAGAACTTGATGAGGACGATTTTCTACTGCAATCATAATAAAAAAATTTCTACCTCCGTTCATCCCTAATTTGGGCTGTAACCCTCCATCAGCTTTCGTATAAAAACATAAATAATAAAAATAATAATGGGTAATCGATGAGAAATTACACAACACAATCATAATAAAATATTTCATACAATATAATCCTCATAAGAGATTAGTAAAAGCTGAATTGAAATAAGATACCTCTTTAGTCTCCTCTAATGCTTCAAAATTTTATATTATAATTACCAAACCTTCTAGTTTACTAATCAAACTTCTTCTTATTTTTTAACTTGTACTATAAAGATTTTGATTTTGGTATCATAAATTTATTGCTTATTTGAAATTATATATAGATAGACATTTGAAATACTTCTATAATAAAATTAAGGTTTATCACAATAAAATCATGTTATTCCAATCATATTATTCCAATGACTTATCATGTTGAAACCAAAGTCTAATCATGTTAGCTAAACATAGCTATATTTTTCATATTTGGATTGTAATGCATTTATCATATTTCTTCCAGATATAATCAAACAGTAGCAATGTATTTCTCAAGATGCATCTAAATACTACCCAAACAATGACAATCTATTTGGAGGTAATTTATTACGCAGTAATGTATTACGCCCGTAATATATTTCCCAACATAAAATTGTAGTCTTAAGCGGTTCACAATCATATGAAAGAAGATATTCAATTATATGGGAATAGAGGAAAAAATATATTTTTCTAGGCCGTCTTAGAGTTTAGATGAGCAATTTTAAAAAGTTAATCGCTGAAACATATTTATAGTTAAAAAATATTTTCAATAGAATATGGTTTCATAGAATATTGAATTTATCATCATAATTAAATAAATTTATTAAATATTGAAGATTTTTTTAGAACCACAAAAGAAATAAATAATTCATATATATTATTTGTGACAAAATAAGATTACATGCAAACTAAAAAAAATTAAATGAAGGAATTTATTTTTAAAATTGAATATTATATTAAATAATTATAAATTTGATACATTATTTTAAAATATTTAATTAAAACATATCCATTTGGAAAAAATTAAAAAATAAAAAATAAAAATGAAGAAGAAATTATTATATTTTTTTAAATATATTTTTTTAGAAAAAATAATGTATTTACCATTATATTATAATTTTAATTATGTTATCTGCAAAAAAATATATGAAAGAAATAAGTTATTTGAATTATATTATTTTCAGATTCTATATAATAAATTATAATTATTTGTACTCTAAGGCAACAATCTTTTTGGCAAGAAATAATCTATTTACTAATATATTATAATTTATATTATATTAATTACAAAAATACTTTAAAAATGAACCTTATAATATAAATATGTGCAATGTATGTAATTTATACACCGAGAGGGCAATTATGCAATAAAAAAATACACATAGTGCAAAAATAGCAACGGTGTTTCTAAATGTATACCCTTCAATTTATCTTTATGTCTATCGATGCTTTCTCTTGGACTTACCAACTGTGGGAACCTTTCAGTCTATTTATCTCTCTCTATATCATTCTCTCAACAATTTTGGAAATCTTATCTGTCTTTCTATTTATCTCTATCTATATCATTTTTTTATAATCTCCACACACTAATTTTAGGAACCTTATGCCTTTCTTTTTATTTATGTATTTTAATAACCAATTTTAGGTAGATAATGGTTTTTTGTGTTGGGAAGAGGGAGCGAGAATGGACTTAAGAACATTGTGGGAAGAGGGAGAGAGAATGGATTTAAAAATATTAGGTTGTGGAAAGAGGGGGAGAGAATGGATTTAAGAACATTAGATTGTGGGAAGAGGGAGAGAGAATGGATTTAAAAACATTAGCTCGTGGGAAAAATGAGAGAGAATATGATATCGGTCGAGAAGAAGGGAAAGAGAGATTAGATTTTAAGAACTTTAGATGGTGGGAAGATGGAGAGAAAGGGCAATTATGAAATAAAAAATGATACATATCATAAAAATAACGAGGGTAGAAGGAGAGAGATAATAGATTTAAAAACCTCAAAAGGTGAGAAGAGGGAGAGAGAGAATAGATATGTCGGTTGGGAAGAAGGAGAGAGAGAGATTGGATTTTAAGAACGGGAAGAGAGAGAGGGTAATTATGGAATAAAAAAAGATACATGATGCAAAAATAGCGAGGGTGCTTCTCTCGCTTAATATAGAGTAGATATAGTAAACCTTATAATAGCTCGGTAACTACAATGAATAGTAATATAGGTGAAATGAGAGCCATTAGATATTCATCATGTAGTTCAAAATGTATGTCATTATATAAATTTTAATATTTTTTTTCTAGAAATCGGATCATAATAAAAATTTAGAAGTATGTACTAAAAATTACGACGCACATTAAAAAATATATAAAAAATATTTCATTAAATATAAAATGACTGACATACCCTTAAAATTTGACGGGGTAATTTGGTCATTTTAAATGATTGAAAGTATTTTTTTATATTTTTATATGGTGTGCAATAGTGTTAGGTATATGCATTCAAAATTTTGTCTTAATTACAGCTATAATAAATAGTAATATAGGTAGAATCTCTGCCATCAGATCTGCATCATGTGGTTCAAGATGTATATCACTATATGAATTTCAATATTTTTTCTAGAAATCAAATCATAATGAAAATTTAGATGTGTGTATTAAAAATAGGGCGCACAATTAAAAAATATAAAAAATATTTTCTAAAATGTAAAATGATCGAAATATCCCTGAAAATTATAGGAGTAATTTGATCATTTTAAATTATTGAAAATAAAATTTTTATATTTTTATATGGTGCGCAATAGTATTAGTCATCTTAATCAGATTTATAGAAAAAATTACATTTAAAATAGTGATATGTATTTTGAACCACTCGATGAAGAGCTAATGGCTGGGATTCCACCTATATTACTATTCATTATAGCTGTCCAGCTATTGTTAGCATTATATATATATATATATATAGATGGTCTAGATAATGTGTTGCAAGATGCATTATTTATGAGACTCAAAATCTTTTTTTTTTATATATTAAATCAGCTTAATATAGAGATGATCAATTACAAGGCTTTTCAACATTAAAACCCCTTTCAAAATTAGATTTTTTTTTTTTCACTTATTAAGGTTCCTCCTTTCTCGACCAAATCGGAGTTAATCCTGACAACGACTCTATAACTGTTCTAAAGTCAAAAGATTCTACAGTCTTGCATAAAGGACTCCACTGAATAAAACTCAATCAAGAGTAATTTTAGCACTCAAGTTTGAGGATGTAATCTCTTCAACCCAGGGACTAAATTCAAAAAAGAATTTCTCAAATCACTTTGTATTTGTTTGTTTTTTTTTAATAATGTTCAGGTTGATCAAAGTATGTTTAATTTTTAAAATATCTAAATTTTCAACAAAAGAAAAAAAATTGGGAAAAGAGAAAAAACTCCGAGAGTACTCTTTTGCCTTCGGGAGCATGATAAGGACGACTGGCAGCCGTCCAATGGCATTTTAGGAAACGTTTTCCGAGTTCCAGGATAAAGAACAAGCGCGAAACAATAAACGGCCATATTTGGCCCCTCCTTCACCCGCCATTTTAAACGCTATCAGAGATCCATCTCTTTCTCTCTCTAATCAGAGATCCTTCTCTCTCTCTCTAACGTATCTGAGAAGCCTCTCTGTCTTACGCTCCCACAGGATGGCCCTCAGTCTCACAGGGCGCCTCTGTTTTGTTCGTCCAAAGGAAAACCTCGTTTCTCTTTCTACTCCCATATTAAACCCACGATTCTCTCGCTCCCTCCCTCTTCTCTCTTGTTCCAATCATAATGTTCGAGGTTTACGACCTGCTTGGCCAAAATCTAGGGTTTCTGCAATCTCTGCTTCTACTGGTAAGGAACTTTAAGACTGCGTTCTTTTCATCTTCTATCTCCAGGCTTTATCATCTCATTACTGGTTTGGGAGCATTTTGATCCATATTTGTTTGTCAATTCAGTGGAAAGTTTTTCTGATGAATTTCAACTATAGCAAATTTCACATTTGAGGAAAAACTGCAGAAAATGTCGTAAATTTGGTCTAAATTTTGTGAAGTACCAAACAATCTGTTACTGTTAAACGAATAAATGAGAAATTTAGTAAAATTTTTCTTTTGATGAGAATTTTTATTAAACAATGTGATTTTATTTGCTATTTTTACTTCATCATGCGATAATAGGAGTGTTGAAGCTCAGTTTCCCACAACTGATGGGTGACTTTGCACGGTGTTACCTTGGGGATTGTTGATCACTTTTATATGTTTAGAGAATTGATGATACATGTGAATGTGCTATCCTTTTCTGCACTGTATTAATATTCTGGAAATCAGGGATATGTTAGGCTCATCATCTCGTTATTTATTGTTGCTTATACGGCTTAGTTAGTTTATAAGCAACTTTGAATTGGTCATTTGTTACACTATGGAAGCATGGCCATCCAAATGATGTGTTAATTTGATATTTAAAGTGAACAATCAATTACTGGCTATTGTGCTACTATGTCACTTTTTGTTGTATTGCTTTTGTATAGACGCTCTATCCCAATCTTGTTTAACCATGCTTTGTATCCACTGTCTTGACTTCTTTGGATTTGTCTTGTGCATATAGTGACATATATGTTCATGCTTTCCCTGGGAGAATTGTACACCATATGCGCATTGTCAATTGTAGATAAGGATTTAATGATTTGTGATAAATTCAGCTTCAGTAACAATTTCTTTATCTTCTATTGCACATTTCTTGATAATGTTCCAAACCTCAAACAAATCCCTGAAATTGCTAGTTTTATGATTGCATTGCACAAAGTTTTGCTAGTTTTATCAAATATTATATTAATGTTTTTGGGGCCAAATTGTGCACTGTTTTGTGCTTATGCTGTAGAGGGCTCATCTTCTACTGGGTCTGAAGATATTGCAACCTTGTTAGAAGGGGTGGAAGTTTATGATTTGAATGGAAATGCAGTTCCCATAACTAATTTGTGGAAAGAGAGAAAGGCCGTAATTGCTTTTGCCCGCCATTTTGGGTAATTTCATTTGATCTTCATTTTCCTTTTCTTTTTAAATTTTATTGTCTAAAATGTATGATATTGTTTTATCACTGATGACAGTTTTTTACTGCAGATGTGTTCTTTGTCGTAGACGTGCTGCTTTTCTTGCTTCCAAAAAGGTACTCATTCTTTTGCTTGAAAGAACTTGAAAGTTCATATACTCCAGTGCTGTTAGGTTTGGTTTTTTTTTTTTTTTATGTTTTTTTTGTGCAGTTCAATGGGAAAGGGTCCCCTACCCTTGGTAGGAATGTAACTCAAGATGTCACCCTGCCACCTTGACCACCTAGCCTTGAGCCCAGTCCTGGTGCTGCTAGGTTGTTTGGAGCTGTTTACTTTCAAATTGTATTTGTGTTGCCTCTACGAGCATTATATGAGGGTTCGTCACTGTAGTGACATGGTAGAGTTTCTACTCCTCATGGTTCTTGTTGATTTTGGAGGGAGTAATGCTTGCCTGTGGAGAGATCAGTGGATCACGCAATCTCAATTTGTTTGTTTTGAAGTTCCCATATTTACTCATTAGAGCCTATATTTTTCTTGTCCGGTTAATTTTATTTTTTAGATATAAGCAACATTACTAGTCATTTGTTTATAATTTATTCTGCTTCTTTCTAATTATACTTGGAAGTTTGTGGTTTTCCTTTGCAGGAGATAATGGATGCTTCAAATGTGGCTCTTGTTCTGATAGGACCTGGGAGTGTTGATCAGGTAAGCAATGTCTAGTGATCTGTTGTAAGCCATTTCTGAAACATCTGGATTTTGAGTGCGTTGGTAAAAAAACATGCTATAAACTTCAACATCATTAACAATGGGTTATAACATCTGAATGCGAATTATGGCTGGTCACCATGGGATCTTCTTATGAAGTCTTTGTACCTTGACTTTTGTAGTGCCACTGTATTGTAATCCTCTAGTAGTAGAATTCATATTAGGAATGAATATCTATTTTCTTATTGAATTTGAGTTCGTTTAGGTCCTATTGTAGTTATACACCAAACAGCACAAGTTTCTGTGATCAGTATTCATTGCAAACCAACACAAAATTCTGGAGTTGTTCTCTGTGAGAAGACTGAACAGCATATCAATAATTTGCCATTATATCATTCAAACGGCATATCTTGCTGTGGGCCAAATTGGCTGCTTCCAATCTTTCACTTGAGTTATAATCACAATAAAATTCCTATTATCCTCTTGGTGTCTTAAGTTCCTCAGGGAATTGGGATTCCAAATATCAAAGGAAGTACTATGAATTGGAATAACACTGGTTCTGAACAAATTATGGTACCAAAGCTGAGAAGACGAAAATTTTTGATATATCAAAGGATCTACCATTGCAAGGGTTTTCTTTCCTTGGTCTTTACGTTCTGACAGTTATAGTTTGTAGTTCCTATTGTACATCCATCAAATGGATTTATTTTTTAGGTTACTTGGACTTTCTAGTGGCCTGTTTGAAGTCATTTTTGAGAAAAGATGAATCACAATTTATTCTTAGATGTCGACGAATAATTAAACTTGCAGTAAATGATTTGGCCTTTTTGCTAAAATCTTCTTCATTTTGCATATGTTTTGCATATTTTCATTTCTTCCATAAGGGATATGTAAGGGTTCAGTTCCTAAATAATCTGCTGAGACTGAAAACAACCTAACAATTATGTGAAAAGAGTCAGTAGTGATGCTTCTGAGAAAGCACCAATGTCTTTTGTCAACATAGCAGGCTTGCAAAATGTCATATTCTCAAAACTAGTCACAGTCGTGTCGATCTTGGTTAATATAGAAACTGGGTTTAAGTCTGAATTGGCTGCTGCTGAAATAGGAAAATGGTTTTGAGTAGCACATCAGTAGGGATTTCTTATAGAATTTTTGATGTTATTTATTTTGCATATGACCTTGTTTGTCGAGATCATAGTATTATTTTCAGTTCATGCAAGTCATTTGTTCTTTCCTACATCTTGGAGGTCTGCTAATTGCATAATCCACTGAGATCATGAAGTTCTTTGGCATTTGCAGCACGTGACTTCAATCTATATCTTTAGTGCAATGGTTTACAGTTTCATTGCTTTTGGCATTTCCTGAAGGTAGAATACACTATGCATCATGACTACTTTTATTTTCTTTGGTCCAGGCAAATGCGTTTGTTTTGCAAACACAGTTTAAAGGAGGTATGGTTTACAGGTCACAAATTCCACCAAGTTTCGTGTAAGCTGTAGTCACAATTGTTCTTGACATGCTTTTCAAGGTTGCTAAATCATTAACATGAAGAAAATGTGAGGTTGCCCTTCATCCAAATTGTTTCTAGTGAATAGGTGGTTGAAAAAGCTCCAAAACTTGATTCATGCAGGCAAATTATATAATCTTATCTATGAGGAGCTGTTTTTTATGTTTCCACATGATATCTAATTAACTGTGGAACATGTACCTTAAATCTCGACCATCGCACCTTTTCTGTATCTGCTCATTCCACAATATCATTCAAACGATCCTTGCAGCACTGAAGATGTGGTTTGCTTTCTCCATTGTCATGGATTCATAAACAAATCATTACTTGTCATTGTTATCCAGATGCTCCACAACTGCAATCAGCTGTTGTATACCCTCAACTGATATAGAAAGTTCTCCTGTTGTGCATTCATTGACAGCAGTTCCATGTAACATGTTTTTTTCTTTTTATAAATCATCTATGTTAGAAATAAAGGTAATGGAATTGCGTAAAAGAGTCAACGTAAATTATCCCCCAACACGAGAGGTTCTCTCCCCCTCCGGCAAGGGACTTGGTCTTTGTGTTGCCACTTCACAAGATGTCACTGTAAGAAATTCTAAGTGACCTGAGCATCTAGCTCCTCGAATTCTCTTACTTCACTGATATGCTATTCGCTGTCATGCCTACCTGATTAAAACAGATGAGTCACCTTCTGCCTCGTGGCCCAGAAATTAGAATAACAATTAGCACCTTAAGTCTTTTCAAGTGGGCCTTCTTTTTGCTGCTCTTTATTTGTGAAATGTTCTGTTAATAACTAATAGTTTCATCATTTCCCACATCAGCTCTAATTGATTAATGGAGTTTACTTGGCTCTTGTTCTTGGGGGTATAACCTCCTTTCTGATGAATTATTTATTTATGTGTTCAGTTTAAGATTGTCTTGTAATTTTTAATTTCCCCATTGTTAGATGGATTATATTGATTAAATAACATTCCTTTGGAGGTAAATCAAGACATTATTTATCTTTACTTTCTGAATTTCCTTTGTTAATACTAGCGATTTCGTCTTCAAGGACCTTGAGAAAACTTCTTGTTTTTGGGTAGTCCTTGATAGCTTATGGCATTTTTTTTCTCCTTCATCCTCAGATATGCTTGATTTGTTTGGACTGCTTTGTTGTCCTATTTGTTTATATCACTACGATATCTTTGTTTCATGCAGAGGTTTATGCTGATCCCACACATTCATCATTCAAGGCATTAAAATTTGTTTCTGGCGTATTAACCACATTCACTCCAGCGGTATAAAAAGTTTTAGTGAATGCTGAAATGGATCCTGCCCCCTTGGTGGCATTTCTAGAAAGTGTTCATCACAGATATTTTCCAGTGAAAGCGTTCATTTGTGATGACTGGTATTCCTTTTGATATTGTAGGCAGGAAAAAGTATAATTCAGTCATATCTTGAAGGTTTCAGGCAAGACTGGGGGCTTTCATTTGAAAAGGACACTGTGGCCAGAGGTGGTTGGTATGTGGCAGTTTTCCCTTGCACTAGTGCTCATACTCAGTCAACCTCTAAATAGTTTTACATGAAGAGTTCGAACTAGATATTGAAGCGGTATCTATGCAGTTTTATTAAATTTGAAAATTTTGAAATTCTTGAGAATTACACATATAGATTAACTTGAATATTATATGACTGGTAAAACTAAATTATGTAATTTTATCTAAGTTATTGTTGAAAGCAACCTAAAAGTAGGAAAGTGCTTATGAATATTAATAGTTCTTGATTTTGGGGTTTATTTATCTCTGAGTTTTGTATGTCAAATTCTTAGGTTTAGAAACCGTATTTTTTCTATGTTTCAGACATATTTTTACTAGGTTTCCTTAGATTTTTTTTTTTTGGCTGGTATATATTCCTTAATGGTTGTGTCACTATTTTGAATTTAGATTAAGTGACAGCCAGATTACCAGCTATCAGCAGAATTATATTTTAAACATCACTATTGTCATTTCAGTATGAATAAATTAACCGTGCTTGTGTTGTTTCAGGCAGCAAGGAGGAATAGTAGTTGCTGGTCCTGGTAAAAGCAAAATTACATACATGCACAAGGTTAGACTTAAAAAGTAATTGGTGACAGTCAATGTGAATATTGGCACTTTGCAACCTGCAATCCATAGCCATAGGATAAGCCTCTGCTTTATATGCATCTAAGATAACATTAATTATTATTTCAAAAAGCCTAGGCTGTGCCTCAAGTGGGTGCCACAGTTGATGAAAATTTGAAATGAACAGAAAGGAATAGAAAAACTAATGTATTGGATGAGAAAAAAACAAATCCAGAAGCTAACAAGCCTAGCTTCAAGGGTTCCCTTGGATTCAACTCGAATTCTTAATTAACACAGTTATGAATAATAATCAACTCTGAATCAAAACCCTAATACAACCCTTCTTTATAGACTTATTTGGATGCACTTAATCCTAATTGTACTGTCAATAGAACTAATTAAATCTAAACTTGAAATGACAATTTTACACCTATACCAAAACAAGAAAGACTACTCTATCCCTCTAAACAGATATTACAACTTCCGACAGGCACAACTTTGTACTCCAATGTCAGAACCACTATTACTATCTATTTCCAGAAAATATTGTTCGAGCTCTATGATGCCAAAATCCGTGTACCAGCAAACTTGGCCAGAAAACACATCTAAAGCCCTAAAGGCTACCCCTAATGTTTACTGCCCAAAACTTGCCTACATCAATCTTCTTTGGTTAGAGGGAACTCATCCTTGAGTTATGTTTATCCTTAAACTTTCTCCTTTTGCTTCTTCAACAATTTGCTTCAGATCTTCCTCGAAAATCCACGAATAGTTGCCACATCTTTTCATGAATCCTGAACCTTCTGACCAAAAATAGTTGGGCCAAGGCTCGGATGATGATGATGATAGGATTGTCATCAGCAAGGATCCTTAGCAAATACCTCAAGCTTCTATTCATAACCTTTGACTGCCTATTAATTTGTGGATGGGAGGCACTACAATAGTGAAGTTTGGTGCCTCATTTCTTTCATAGGCTATCCAGAAGTGACTTACGAACCTTGTGTTGCGATTAGATATAATAGTCTTTGGAACCCCATGAAGCCAAACCACTTCTCTGAAAAACAAATCAGTTGCATGCGTGGCATCAAGGTTGTTCTTGAGAGAAATAAAATGCACCATCTTTGAGGAGCGACCAAGCATGACAAATGTAGAATCCAGGCTCTAGCAGTACAAGAAAGTTCCCCAACAAAAAAAATATCCTAAATTTAATCCAAGAGCTAGTGGGTATTGGAGAATGGGCCATTGGCTGAATGACAGACCCTACACCTTTCTATGAGTTGACTAACATCTCAATTGAGCCGAGGCCAATGATATCTTTCATCTACTAATGCACCTGTCTTCGTCTTACCCAAAATGCCCACCAAGGCCTCCATTGTGCAACTCGGCAATAATCTTGATCCATAGAGAACCTTCAGGAATTCATAATAAAGTAATAAACTTCCTTTAAAAAAGAAAACCATCCTGCAGCACAAAGTTAGAAGGAGCCTTGCTGCCCTATGCACGCTATCAAGAATTCTACAAAACTATGGGTGAGTAGCATATAAGTGTGGAAGGGTTTGAAATCCTCACATATATATAGGCTGTCACCTTACATAAACCACATCCAATGATAATTTTGGATATACAAGCAAGATAAACTCACCCATAGTTTTGTAGGATATATAAGTGTGGAAGGATTTCACACATTATATATATGTATAACATGTATATATAGGCTGTCATCTTACATAAACCACATCAATGATAATTTTGTCAAAAAAACTTATATATATATATATATATATATATGGGAGTGGATTCAGTACGCTCACTAGCTGACCGCTACAGTAAACGCCAATGGTCCATATTGTATCTGGGCCGATTTGACGGTCAAGACATCTTTTTGTATTTGAATTGTAATATTTTTTTTATAAATCCAAATCACTTGAAATTTTAGGTGTATGTTCTTCTCATCAAGGCACACCTAATAAAAATATCAAAAAATAAATTGACCAAAATACCCCCAAAACTTTACAGGGGCATTTTGGTCAAATTTTTCATGTAAAATATTATTTTTATATTTTTCAAAGATTCATCTATTGTTTATTTACACACGCTCCAAATTTTAGATCATTCTGATTTGTAGAAAAAAAAATTAAAATTTAAACACTACCGGACATTTAGGATCGTCAGATCGGCCCACATTCAATCTGGGCCATTGGTGTTTACTGTAGCAGTACGCCATAGGTCTGACAGGATCTTTTCCCTATATATATATATATATATATATAATGTAAGTATATAATGCGACCATTTACCTTTGGTATAAGGTGGTCACAATTAATCTTGACCATTGGATGTGAAATTAAGTGGCTGCATTTATTTCATTGACCAAGCTCAAAGTTCAAAAGAAATTTTTTCGAACTTTGTGACACATCCAAGCTATCAAATTTCGCATCGTATGGTTATAAGTAATTGTTACTTCCTTGTACCAAAGGTAAATAGTCTCATTATATACAATCCCATATATGTACATATACAAACATCCATATATGAGCGTATGTGTATGTCTTATATACATACATCTATGTGCATATATGTATGTTTTGGGGCACCTCAAGCTGAGGCACCCGCCTAGGCAGCTATTTTGCTCCAGGAGGCAGGTGTCACCTTGGCTGCCTTTGCGCCCTCTTGCGCTTTCTAAACATTGATATTTGAGTGTTTTCCTTTTCTTCTTCTCCTTTTTATTTTTTTATAATATATAAGCATGATCGCTGTATCCAAATCCTAATAATGCAATGCAATAGCTCCATGACACCAAGATTTGGGGCGTGATTATTAGTGTGGCTGAATCTGTTGTTATGCGAACTACAATACAAAATGTATGTATTGGCCATGGTTGCCTTTGTTGAGGACATTATCCCGAGCAATCTTGAAGACCTGACGGGCATTTAATTGTTTGTGTTGTATATATCATAATAAACATTGAATTTGAAATGTTTGAAATTTGAATACTCTTAATCCTTATTGCCTTGACAGTTTGGTGGGGGTGTGCTTAAACAAGAAAAAGATCATTGTGGTTGCTTAAGGATTTTTGAAGAAAGATTGTCCTCCTTAACAATCTAAAGATTGAAATGTTCCAACCAATGCTTGCAAAGGGAATTCCTCATTTTTTAAAATTATTAAATTAAAAATGCTTCAGGCTGGGAATTGCCTGTTCAATAACGTTAAGTTACTACTATTTCAACATAAAAAAGGATGCCTCACTTCTTCTGCCTTGAAGATGTCACAAATAAATTCCACAATAAAATTAGTATTTTAAAAAATAAATGCTTGGACAAAGCTGAGTTTGTTTTTGGAAATTTTTTTATTTTAAACAGGATTGAGAATATCTTAGGGTATGATTATATGGCAGTTTCACACTATTTCCGCGTGGTTCATATTAGAACCTGTGACAGTCAATGATATGCAACCAAGCTTTTGCTTGAATGCTGCAGAATCTTGGCATAAAATAAATTCTTCTTTATTCCTGTCCATTAGCTCGAGATTCAAGAGTGTTGATAGATGCAGCATTAATATATGAACAATTGAATATTATCTAGTGGAAACATAGTCATTAGTAGCATGATAAGTTGCAATAAAAATTATCATCAGGACTTACGAAGAAAGTATATTTTATTATACCCATTTGTTGTCATTATCATGGTGATTATGAGTTCTTTGCTGAACATTTTGATCTTTTGCAAGACCTCCATTTTGTTGATATTATTCTTGTGCCCAAGGGTGCATTCATGAGGTCCGTTCCAAATTTTCTATTTCACTGGGTTGATGCTTGATAGCAAAGTGGGAGTTCATAAGATTTATTTAGAAGTGTTTCTTTAGTTTTTTGAAGGCTTGTTGACATTTGGCACGTCAATAAATTGCAGTTCCATTCAGAGCTTATCCTTAATGCTCTTTTGTGTCTTGCGTATATAGGACTTGATTTGTATAAGTTTAAGATGTGGTGATTTGAATCCTTCACTTGTATAATGTGAAATCTATCTAAATTTCACCATTTCTTAAGTGGACTGTGATTCAGTTCTTTTTTTCTGTTATCTCATGCTCTACTTATTTGAACAGGATAAAGAAGCTGGAGATGACCCACCTATTGAAGATATTCTAAAAGCATGCTGCATGCCACAGTTTGCACAATAATGTATCTGTTTCAATTAGGCATGGCGACGTACTGCTTTAAAGAATATTCTTATAGTTTATCCCACTTAAATTTATCTAATTTCACCATTTAGTGTCTATTTTAATGGTTTTCTTATCATTAAATTTGGAAACTTTCTTACATTGTGGCTTGTATCTTTTTATTTTTTACAATCAAATTTCCTCCGAAACACAATCTTAAATGTAATTGGAAAGTCATTTCAGGGTGTTTCCACGCTTGATTAAGTTATAGTTGAACAGATTCATGATAGTAATTATTGTAATGTATTCAGCAGGATAAACAAAGTTTCAGAGCTCCTGGCTTCAAGTAACAAAAGCTGCCTATCAATAGTACTACCCCTCATTACATGCTTTTATTCATCTTTCATTTATCTGTTATTTTTTTCTTCTCTCTCTGAAACTTGCAAACTAGATAACCATGTTAGCCACGTTGCTGTTATAGCTAGAAGTTCATGATAGATATGTGAGACTGGCTTGGATTTGGTTAGCCTGATGTGCTTAACCAACAGTGTTTCTGATTTTCTGGTGCTTGTTAATCCAGGAATTTTTGAGAACTTACATTAATTATAAAAAGAAGCCATATTATTCACCCATAAATCTCTCCAAGGAATAGTAACTAAGGTACCTCCAAGCATATGAAGAATGAAATACGTTTACATGCGAGTGTAAACTACAATGCTGCTGATACACATACCTTTATTAGAAATATGTGAACAGTACGGTCACCCTTCTGCATAGCTTTTACTCTGGTCCCATAAACTTCCATCTTCCCATTTTTCCTTCTGTTCTCTGTCTGATCAACTCTCCAGGTTCCTTGGCTCTTATCTCATCTTAGCTATCTTTAGTTTTCTGCTTGTTACTTGTACATTCCAGCTAAATAGGTCCTGCATGTACAATGTGGAATCTGATACTTGTTAGCCACTTGCTTATTTTGCTTGGTTTTATTGCTAAAATGCAGCTGATGTTGTGAATTCTTTCTTAGGGTTTGTTTTGTTGACTTTTGGATGGATTGAAATGCAAGCTAGCTGCTCAGTGAAAGAGAGTTGTTATTTATGGAACAGAAATTGATGTAGATATGATGCAGTAAGTTCCTTGGCCAAATTGTTGGAGCACTTGATTGCATTGTTTATGTGCCTTTGATATTGCATCTCTCTGTATATACTCCTAATATTTTGTATAGAATCCCGACTTTTATATGTAAAGAATGATCTTGTTATTGTTAAGTGCTTAGAGTTTTGCATGATAAATGAGAAAACTATAAGCTTTTGGTCTATTAAGTAGTGTTCCTTTTAGCGAGATAAATGAACTCTGATGATGTCAGAGTCCAAGCACTGTGCTCATCCCCTTTTAAAAAAATAACCATACCAAAATGATATGAACTTATGAAATATACCATACAAAAATAAGCCATATCACCAAAATTCACTCAAAGATTACTGCATCGAAATGATAGCAGATTCATATTATAAGGATCCTGGTACACATAGTGGTGGATAACAATGTAGACATGTTCGCACATTTCAGCTCAAGCCCCAATTATCATACCGAACTACAGATGTAATACTTCGTCAATAAAGAACTGTCTATATAGAGTCAAAGGCTAAAAGTGCATCAATGCAAGTCATACCTTTCTAAGTTGCTTTCTTATTTTTTTATTTTTTTGATGGGGTAGTTTAGGAGTGAGATTCAACTTGGGATTCAGTGTTGAAGTCTTCAATACCTTAACCAAACATGCCCAAGGCTGAATTCTCTTCTAAGGGTTTGAACGTCAATTGGCTTATGATGTGAGAAGTCTCGGTCTCAAGTTTCTATATGGGTTTCAATTTTGAGTGGTTCATCATGGAAACATCAGATATTAAGAGAGTTACATGAGACCCCAACTGTGGGGCATTATGGTTCCCTCAAAACATACAACTGAGTTGCCAGGTCTTTCTATTAGAAGAGGATCGAGCATGATATAAACCAGTGTTTAAAAAAATGGATTGGCGGAGTGGATCGTCTGCCCCCAATCTCAGTCCAAATCGGCTGGATTGCCGATCTGGATCATTCTCGAATCGTCTAGATCGGCGATCAATTTTTTTTAATAAATAAAATAAAACAATAATTAAAATAGAGGTTTATGGGGTAGGGATTTAGGCGGGGACCTCAGAAAAATTAGATAATCTTAAAGAAAGAAGGAAAAAAAATAAATGAAAAGGCGAGTTTTAGGGGTAACAGGGCCGAGACCTATGCCATTGCGGAACCATTTGGTCGCGATCGATTTGGCATTTGAATCGGTGACCCCAATCGGAAATCACTTTAAAAGACTGTATTAAACTATTTGTTGTTGAGTGTGAATTTTGCCAAAGCACAGAGGGGGAGTCGTAGGCTACCCAGTATAGTTGCAGCTCCTTACTGTACCCGTACCCTATGAAAATATGGCTTATATTTTAATGGACTTCATAAAAGGGCTATCCAACTCTCATGGAAAGTCCGTCATATTAGTGATGATCGGGCGGTCAAGTAAGTATTCTTGCTTTTGTCCTCTGGCACCTATTTACTGCTATTGTGATAACCAATTTTTTTTTTTTTTTTATACTGTATTTAAGCTAGATGGAATCCCAAGCTCTATGGTGAGTGATCGTGATGCTATTTTCACTAGTAATTTTCGACACGATTTGTTTATGTGTAGATTACCTAATTAAAAATGGGTTCTGCATGCCATCCCCAAACTGATGGCAAACTGGGCAGCAAATGTTTGGATACCTACTTACAGTGTTCGCAACAAGCCATCCAAAAAATGGTTATGCTGGCTTCCATTAGCCGAATGGTGGTACAATACCACCCACCACCTTTCCACCAAAATGACACCATATGAAGTTGTTCATTTATCATGTCTTACATCTCTGGGATTGTTAAGTGTTCGAGCTATAGATTCAAGACTGCAAAGCTGAGATCATATCATACAAATTAGGACATTGCATGAACTAGGCAGATCAAATGCGCAATGAGTGAGAGTTCCATGTGGGTCATATGGTTTTTTTATGGTATAACTTAAGCTTCTGTGGTGGTCATGGACCCAAGAAACTTGCGCCTAAATTTTATGGGTCAAATAAGATATCGAACACACTGGACATGTTGCTCACAAGTTAGAGCTACTAAAATCATCTGGTTCAGCTTGTATTTCATGATCTTTCTCGAAGAAAGTAGTGGGACGAGGATCACAACGCAAACTGAGCTTCCTCCACACTCTGAAGAGGGGTTATCAGAGTTGGAACCTGTCGCCATCCTAGAATTTTGCATTGTAAATGATTTTAGAAAAATAAAAGTAGAAGGTACGATCAATTATGAGTTGTGATTTCTATATTTCCTTTTATTACATAATTGATAGTTATATAAAGGGATGGTCGGTGATGGGTAGAGCAGAGAAGGAATATATATTGAATTTCTTAAGGAGGTAACGTCCTTGAATTGGCACATTTATCTTAACGCGAGAGCCCCATCCAAGTGGTTGTCTATTAATTGAATTCTTAATTTCTAGCTCTTGTTTTACTATTTAATAATTATTTTATTTTCTTTTATCATTGTATTCTTTTCTTGGGTTCATTCAATATCATAGTGGCTTACAAGTTTGGAGAGGGAAAAAACTAACAAGCGGAAACGGAGGGAGAAAACAAAGAAAGGGAATGACGAGAGGAAGAGAGAAGAGAGGGATTTAGACACTGTTGTGATCTCAACAAATTCATGGGGAAATTTTTGGAGAAATAGAAAGGAAAAAGGACGCGGTGTGTGGAAGGGGTAGATGAAGTTTGTAGAGAAAATTAGATGCTATTTTAGATGAGTTATATATTGGTCAGTTTTTCAAAAGATGGACCGATGGGATCTGGATAGGCTCGATCCATGATCAAGACCCCAAAAAAAAAGAAGAATAATACGTAATAATATATAATAGGTAAGATTTACATCACTTTTGTTGTAAGGCTGACTGGTTAGGTTGAACATCCCATGTTTGAGCCCTCCTGCTAGCATTACCCATGATTTTAAACTCTTCCTGAAATGTCAAAGGAGCCAACCAAGTAGGTCATTTGGAATTTTGTTATGTAATAAATACCGTATAAGTTATCTAGATGTAAAACAGCTGAAAGACAAAGGTCCATGATTGCCGATGGCCTTTCAATATGAGGAACTGGGTCGGTGATAAAAGTCGTGATTGGGTTAAAAGCCCTAGATCGAAAGCTGGTCGTTCATGCATTTGGAAGAGTACTGATTATTGTAGGCCCATTTTTTTTTGGCATTGAAAGGCAGTGGGATGGGAAAATGGCAGCTCTTTCTGGTTTGATAAATGGCTGGGAGATACTGCCTTAAGGATCTCTTTCCCAAAAGTGTTTTCTAAAGTCTATGAACGGTTGGCTCATGTTGAAAATGTAGTGTCAGGGATGGGTTCAATGCTGTTTTTCGGAGTAATGTGGACCGTTATACACAAGAATCAATACGAAATCCAAAGAGGGGGTATTGGTGGTCTTGTTAGAGACCATAGGGACTCTATCATTCTTTCCTTTCAGGACCTCTTTCTCGAGATTTTCAATGCTTAAAGTCGTTAGTTTAGAAAAGCTAACATGGAGGCTGATTGTTTAGCCAAAAGTTGTGCTCGCCAACACTCGTTGGTTGTCCCCATTCTCTTTATAATATCTTTGTATTTCTTCCTTGTTGAAGTAATAAAATAAACCATGTTACTCTTCAAAAAAGAAAAAGAAAAAAAAGAATATGAAGAACAAGGTTGGTCTTGTTGATTTTCTATCCGAATCGGGTAAAAAAACAATGACTTTGGGTAAGGAATAATAAGATAATTCCCTTTTAAAAATATGCACAGGGTTCGAGAGAGCTAGATAGATGTGGCTATGAGTGAAAATGGCTGAGGGAAAACTATTTGGAGTACCCAAGGACTTTCGATCACTTGGAGAAAGGAATTCCAAACTCAGTCCCAGCTCACTCAAATGCAGAGGAATCCCTATTCTTGGAACCGGTGTTTGCAAATTCGCTGATTTGGATTGGAATCTTCTGATCCAAATCAAGAATCGTCATGACCGTTTTGAATCCTGTAATATATCGGGATCTTGTCGTGTTTTTTTTTTAACCTGTCCGACCAGTCCATACCAGTTTTGTAACAGAATCGATCAATTCTGTCAAAGAAACAATTTAATTAAAATTTTAATCTATTTTTAATTTTTGAATTTTTTATTTGAATTTTTTTTTGCACCGGATAAGTCAACCGTAAAACATATTGAATTCGGTAGTGGGGGACGTACCAAACCCCGTAAAGAATTCGGTAGTCGGGGACGTACCGAGGAGTAATGTAAATGAACAAGGAATAATGTCATTAAAAAATATGGAAATGAGCAAATTGATTTCAAGATTAGGAACATACCGTAAAACATATTGTATTAATGTAGAAAAAGGAGTAATGTCACTAAAAATAATTGATAAATACTTCATTATATTATTGTAGAAAAAGATGTACTATTGTTAAAATGGTTCATAAATTGATAGTAAATTTGGAGGAAAACTCCATTCTAGGAGGAATGTAAGAAGGCCTCCTTAAAATTAAAAAAATACTCAAATATTTATTATTAAAATGCAAAATTAACCATATTCTTAATCTAGGTGAAATTCGTTCCAACTTTTTTGAGGGACAAAAACTTATTATTGAAATCTCTCTATCTCTATATCTCTCGTTCATTGGTCTCTCTACTAACGACCTATTCCATTAAATTTGTTATATATAGCTTTCTTTCAAAAATCAAAATTTTTAAGTTAATACAAAGATAAAAAATAAATTGAGTTAGAGAGATTCATTTATTGTCACGAGTTGCATTTTAAATTTTATTTTGGCTACCAAATAAATTTAATAGACAACAAATACTCAAGATATAAAACAAGTTTACCGGATATAAATATTTATGATACAATAATGAAAAACTACTTGCAATTGCCAATATTTTTTTTAGAAACCTAAAAAATTAGATCTTTGATAAATTATAATGATGTTTTGAGGCAGAGACCGACCGATCCAACTAATTCTCCGATTTAGATTGGGGATCCACATGGACTTTGGAGTGTGTGATCCAGGTCACGGATATATTTTTTGTTAACGTAACTCAGAAGTCGGAACTGATCGTTTTGAACGTACCATTCCAGGACTGGAAACCTTTACTTGCTCCTCTGC